CACAAAACACACACACTACTGGGCCGAGGCTGCCAGCACCATGCTGCCCACCCTCCCCAGAGCATACCACGCTCTGGAAATAAACATAAATATACGGGCAGCCCATAGCTGCAGGTGCCAGGCCCCTACCCACTGCCTGCTTCAGGGCCACAGCCAGGCCTCGGCACCTGACACTACGTGATAGGTGACACCAAAACGTCCTCTTGACGGGGCTCATGGGGTGAGAGGCTGTCCTGACCCCAGGGCACAGCAGGCCCGGCCAGCAGGGAGTTGGGCGCCCCCTGGGGCTGGACTAGGAGGGCGCTGACCAAGGAAGGGCCCTTCCATCCGGCACACGGGCCCTCCCGGAGCCTTCGCATTTCCCCGAGACACCAGAACGTTCAGGCAGCTTTGGGAGTTCCAAGCAGTTGACCTCTGATCGACCAGCTTGGGGTCCCGGGCCGCCAGTCCTGATGGGAGAGCTGAGATGATGTGTTTATCCCTCCGTCCCAGACACCCCTCCTGCTGCCCTCACCCCAGGTGGGGGAGATTTTGAGTAGAGCCTCTTTTCTGAGGGACATTCTCAGTGGCCTCGACGTTGCCTTTAGACCACAGCGTGTCATCCTCTTGCATATCGGCTTTTCAGAGTCATTTATGAGCAAACATAACGTTGAAGTAAAACTTTGCTAATCTGAACACTTTTGCAGCTCCTGGAGGCTCTGTGACCTGTGTCATTGTGGGGGAGGGAGGGAGAGGAAGGGGCTGTGTCGGGCCTGGCATGCATTTCTTTTCTTTCTTTTTTTTTTTTTGCGGTACACGGGCCTCTCACTGTCGTGGCCTCTCCCGCTGTGGAGCACAGGCTCCGGACGCGCAGGCTCAGCGGCCATGGCTCACGGGCCCAGCCACTCTGCAGCATGTGGGATCTTCCTGGACCGGGGCACGAACCCGTGTCCCCTGCATCGGCAGGCGGACTCTCAACCACTGCGCCACCAGGGAAGCCCCTGGCATACATTTCTGACGTTTGTTTGTGTTTATAGTAGAAAATTTGGGGACTTCCCTGGCGGTCCAGTGGTTAGGACTCCGTGCTTCCGCTGCAGGGGGCCTGGGTTTGAGCCCTGGTCGGGGAACTAAGATCCCACAAGCTAATGTGGTGCAGCCAAAAAAAAAAAAAAAAAAAAAAAAAAAATTGGGAGAGTTCAGAAGAGTATACACAGGGGAAAAAATGCCGGAATCTAGAGGCCAGCATTTAGAACTTGGATGAAACCACATCATCCACTGTGTGGCCTCTGCTTTCCCCCTAATGTCAGATGTGCTTTCCCTCTGTGGTCAGAAACTCACCATGGGCCCAGATGGATCATGATTTTTTTATGTAGCAAATCCCTGTTGTTGGACAGTTAGGCTGTTTCCAGTTTGCGGATTTTGTAAATAACAGTGGCCATGTTCACCCTCCTTTTTTTTTTTAATTTATTTTAAATTTATTTTTATTTTTGGCTGCGTTGGGTCTTCGTTGCTGCTTGCGGGCTTTCTCTAGTTGTGGCGAGCAGGGGCTACTCTTCGTTGCGGTGCGCGGGCTTCTCATTGTGGTGGCTTCTCTTGTCGTGGAGCACGGGCTCTAAGCGCGCAGGCTTCAGTAGTTGTGGCACGCAGGCTCAGTAGTTGTGGCTCGCGGGCTCCAGAGCGCAGGCTCAGTAGTCGTGGCACACGGGCTTAGTTGCTCCGCGGCATGTGGGCTCTTCCCAGGCCAGGGCTCGAACACGTGGCCCCTGCACTGGCAGGCGGATTCTTAGGCACTGCGCCAGCAGGGCAGTCCTTCACCCTCCTTTCTTATGACTTCTTTTAGGGTAGATTCCTGGGAATAGATGGAGTGTGGACAGTGGGGGTCCAACTTTTAACCCTCCCCTCACACCCAGCCTTATTCACATCATCTCGTCCGTGTTAAAAGGTGTCCCCAGTCTCAACTTTGGACAGCCCCGTGTGTCCCCAGTGTTTTCCTTTTTACTCTGTCCTCTGGAGAGCCCTGAGAGAAGTCAGTAGCACCTATTTCCGACGGAGAGACTGAGGCTCAGGGCAGTGAATGGCTTTCAGGGTGGAGGTCGGGCCTGAGGCAAGGCAGGTGTCACCCTGTCCTGGGGAAGCTACAGGTGAGGAAGGGAGTGCCTTCATTGATTCAGGCACTCTTCCAGGGCCAGGGCCAGGGCCAAGGCTGCTCCAGACACACCCTTCCCTGCTCCTGGGGTGTTCGCAAGAAAGACACTAGACAAGTAACAGGTGATGGGAAATGCCAAGATGGCAGTTAAAGATGGGACAGTGTGGTGCTTCCCTGGTGGCACACTGGTTAAGAATCCACCTACCAATGCAGGGGACACGGGTTCAAGGTCTGGTCTGGGAAGATCCCACATGCCTCGGAGCAACTAAGCCTGTGCGCCACAACTACTGAGCCTGCACTCTAGAGTCTGCAAGCCACAACTGCTGAGCCCACGTGCTTAGAGCCCATGCTCCACAAGAGAAGCCACCGCAATGAGAAGCCCGCACACCGCGATGAAGAATAGCCCCCGCTCACCACAACTAGAGAAAGTCCCTGTGCAGCAACAAAGACCCATCGCAACCAAAAATAAAAATGAAATTAAAAAACAAACAAACAAAGACGGGACAGTGTGGGAATGAGGGCTGTTCTCAGAGTTGGGCAGCAGGAACTCCCTCTGAGGAGGTGACCTTTGTGCTGCGATGTGAAGGGAAGGAGCTGGCCCCACTGGGGTAGGTGTTCAAGGCGGAACAGCAAGTGTGAAGGCCTTGTGGCTAGAACAAGCTTGTGGAAGAAACTTCCAGAAGCAGATCAAGGAAGGCAGTTGGCTGAGGGGACAGTGAGGATGAGACTGGAGAGGGAGGCAGGACTAGAGGGGTACTCCAGCGGGAGTGACAAGCAAGTGCGGAGGCCCTGGGACACAGTGAGGGCCAGTGTGGCTGGAGTGGAGTGGGGAAGAGGAGAAGACGGGGGAGTTCACAGGAGGCCTCGGGGCCGGGGAGCCACTCGCCCCTCTCATCTCTCACCTTCCATTCTCTCTCTGGCCCTCACACATCCTGGAGCAGGGCTGGGACTCCTCAGTGGGCAGGGGAAGGACTCAGCCTGGGCCTCTCAGGCCCTGATGGCCGTTCTCCACACCTACCGTCTGCTGAGGACTCTGCCGAGTGCTTGACACACATTAGGTCTCCTGGTGCCTGTCCCCGTCTGGAGGACAAGAAAACAGGCCTGAGCGTTGAGCCTTGCTGCACACTGCCTGAGCCCACAAGAGGCTGTCTGCTGAAGCTGGGAGGAAGGACGTAAAGTGGACCTGGTCCCTACCCTCTTATAAGTCTGTCTTCCCACCTGTAAAATGGGTGAGTGAGTAGGCCAGTGATTCTCCACCCTCTCAGATGTGACACCATTTAAAAACAACATTTATAACAGACGCTTTACGCTCCTGAGGTCACTGCTGATATCACCTACTTATACAGAATTTTTAAAAAAAATCAACACAAAGGGGACTTCCCTGGTGGTCCAGCGGTTAAGAATCTGCCTTCCAATGCAGGGGATGCAGGTTTGATCCCTGGTCGGGGAACTAAGAGCCCACATGCCGCGGGGTAACTAACCCTACGCACTCTAGAGCCTGCGTGCAACTACTGACCCCACGCACTCTGGAGCCCGCGCTCCACAACTGGAGAGGAAGCCCTGAGTGCCACAACGAAGAGCCTACACAACACAACTAAGACCCAACGCAGCCGAATAAATGAATATTAAAAACAAAAACGCAAAACCCAAACTTACATTATAAAAGCAAAAAAGGAAAGGACTTCATAAAATGATGCACATTTCAGCATGTAAATGCTGGTGGCCCCAAGGCCCGTAGACGGAAGCATCAGGAGTCTGCATGGACGCATGGTCCCTGCACTGGCGCAGCCCCTAATGCCGCCCGCCTTCCCCGCTCTGCCGACAGGGGTGCGGTTTTCCCAGGCGGGTCACAATTGTTGGTTAGTCTCCAAGTAAGGCAGGACCCAGTTCCTTTGGCTACAGCGCAGGTGCGTTGCTGGCAACCCCATATTTGTTTACACTGGGAAAAAAGTCCTGCGTGTTCATACAAGAAATGGATCGAAACCCAGGATCAAAGAATCGTAACCGGCGCCTCCGGCCCGGGAATGTCGCGAGCGTTGGGAGATCCAGCGGGACGTCCCATCCCGTCCCCGCCTCCACGTGACCGGATCCCTGCCGTTCCGACACCCAAACACGACCCCACGAAGTTCCGAAACGCTTCTGGAGGAGGGCAATCCGGCAGTCACAGAATTACATGACATCAATGAGTCCACTATTGGGGTAGTTTAAGAAAATGATTTAAGCGCTATTTTTACACTTCGCTTTCTTCGCGTGGAGGTGCGAAAGGGCCTTAACTCCCGCGCTCCTCTGGCCTTTTCCTATTCCTGCGCACCTGCCTGCCCGCCGCTGTGCAGCCGGCCAAGGGTTGGTTCCTGGTTTCCGCGCTCCTTCCCGGCACCTCGCGGAGGGAGGAGTCAATGGTCCTGTTTCACGGCTGAGAAAAGGAGGGCCAGCCAGCAGCCAATCACGGCTGCGAAGGCGGGGACCTGGATTTCCCTCCTCCAGTGCCCAATCTTCACCAGCTCGTCTCTCCACGGACCTTTTTTCTGATGCCAGATTTTCATCTGCGGTGTGATGTTCTGTCGAGAACACATAACTCCACTCACCCGTTGTAGTTACAGCAGTGATTCATAGGGCACTTAATCTTTGTTCGGCGCTGGTCTAAAACGCGTTGCACGTTTAGTCTTTGTTTTATGTTTCTGTTTTTCTGTTGGTGGTGTTTCGGTCACGCCGCGCTGCATGCGGGGGTTTTACTTCCGCGATCAGGGATCTAACCCCGGGCCCGCTGCAGCAGAACCGCGCAGTCCTCACCACTGGATCGCCAAGGAATTCCGTTTCCTCCTGTTTTTGTATTTTTCATTCATTGGTTCGACATACTGAACCTCCCACCAGGATCAGTGCTGGAGACTGAGATTACATCAATAAAAAAAAAAAAAATACAGATTCGGAACACTTCACTTGGCCCTCGCAGCGACGTAGTTCATGCGCCCCATTGTGCAGATCAGGAAGACAACGGTCAGGCTGGAAAAAACATTCGGTTGCAAACGTCCTACTATACTGCCCAGAAGTGTGAGCCGTGGGACGGAAGCCCTGCATTATAACCCCCACAACGAGGTTCCTGTGTACTGCACGTTGTCTCCCCCGAACAGTTAGCTGGTAACACTCCCAGTCAACGTAACTAGTAAGCCCCAAAGAACTGACTGTATTATCTTAATCCAACCTTAATCATTTTACGGGTTAACAAACCCGGATAGGGGCGCGGGATTTGACCACCACCGTTAGTCGATGATGGCGACTACGAGTAATTCCTTAGATCGCCTTTAATCTTCCTCTATTTCATTGACTATTAAATTCTGCTTTTTAGATGCAAGAGGTACGGGCAGATCGCAACTCCCAGGCATCCCGCAAAGTAGGCGGGTCACCGTAGGGGCAACCTTTACCCGCTCAAAAATTCGTCTCACATTAGCAGTGAGGATTCGGGCGTCACCCCGAATCGTTATTTTCCTTACTCATAAGTTTAAGGCATAAACGGCTCTACTGCTTACTTCCTAGGTAATGAATCCCATTCTCATTAGCCCTACGGTGAGTGTCAAAGTTGACCGTCGAACCGAGAACCTCTTTCCTTTGAAGATTGTCTTACTCATTTAATTATTTTCTGTTGCTTTTCATTTTATTTGCTCGTTTGAGAAAGAGGGAACCGTAGGGCTACGACCCGCCGTATGCAAATAAGCAGCGGACGTCGCAAAGGCTCACGGGGAGAGCCCCGCCCCTTCCGGTTCTTGCTCGGTTTGATCTGTCGCGAGACTTCGTCAGCCGAACGCCGGAAGCCGCTATTGCTCCGTAGCGGCCGAAGGGGCGGGCTCGAGGGCTGAGGGACGATTAGCTGCTCGCGGCTCGCGCGGCGGTGCAAGATGGCGGACATCTCCCTGGACGAGCTCATCCGGAAGCGAGGGGCTGCGGCGAAGGGGCGGTGAGCGGCCTTTTTTCCTTTCGGGGTTCACGGCCCGAGTCTTAGCTGGGCTCGGGGCGGAGGAGGGAACGGTCTGGGCGCGACGCGGAGGGCCGTCTGCTCCCGCCCCCTGCCACAGCCGCGCTCCCCATTGGCCCGGCCGCCGCCGCCGCCGCGGGCCCGGCCGCCCGGCTGCCCACTGGCTGCAGGCGCCGTCGCTCCGGTGGGCCGGTGGGAGGCCGGTGGGACCGTTGACGGCGGAGGGGCCGGACTGCGGGGCTTGTGGGAGCGGCCCGAGGGGCGTCCCGCGGGGGGCGGAGCTGCGGTTGTGGAGGGGACGCGCTGTCCGCGGCCCGGAGGGTCTCTCCGGCGCAGCCCCTCGTCTGAGGAGCCGGGCGCTGCTCCACGGTCTCAGCGCGGCCTCAGAGTTAGGACGACTGGAGTTGCGCGGGCAAGTGACTTGCTCAGACTCTGCCGGTCTGTTAGTGCCGAAGCCGAGATCCACACCCAGACCTTTAATTTCCAAATCTTGCGCCTGGTTCTCCTCTAGCACTCGACTCCCTTTGTAAGGCATTTCAGGTTCTCTGAGCGCTTTGCTGCCCAGGCGGTCTTTGCTCTTTTCGCAGTCCTGCTGGCCCGCTCTTATAGTTTTCCCCATTTTCCAGATGAGGAGCTGGAGGCGGAGTGACTTGCCCGAAGCCACGGAGAGCTGAGATCGGTGCCGAGTGCACTTTATGAGCTGGCTGAGTTGGCCTCAGGCTTGGGCAGAAAAACAGGTGGGACGGGGCTGGAGGCCGGCTGTTTCTCGATGGTTCGCAGAGAAGACTGTTCTGTTTCTGGGTGAGGAGTCGCGGGGATGGTTCGCAGTTAGGTGCTCCGGACTTCCTCTGGACCTTCAAATGTTGTTAGTCATTTCCAGCCTTTGTGCGCTCCAGTTCACCTGTATGAAAGAGTGGGAACTTCGGCCAGTAGTTTTTTCCAGCACGCGTTAAATTAGTTCACATGTCCTTGTAAACAGCCGGGCTGTAAAGTTAGATGTAGTTTTCTCAGATAGTCATTCACTCAGCAGACGTGAATTTATTAACACTCTCTGCGTGCCTGTGGCTAGAAAATGGATTCTATTACTCTCTGAAAGGTATCCCCCCACCCTCACCTCTGCACACGTAGCCACTGCGCCCACCACCACGGAATTCACCAGCCAGTACTTCACCTGGCTTCTGGTTCATGACAGACACCCAGCATTAATTTACTCTACCATTATGTGTGAGTAGTTCTGTGCTAGGTCTTCCCTCTAGTAACTGGTGTGGAACTGGTGCTGGGTCCTCGGGACACTTCTAAGCCCATCCAGGTTTTCACAGGTTTGCTCGACAGTTGCTGAATGAGCCAGCTTCCCAGGACCTGCGCTTCCTGCAGTCACTCCCCTCAGTTCCTGACTGCAGGCGGTCTGTACTTTTTTGGTGTTGATGTGTGCAGAGTCTTGTGTTGGGCATTGGGTGGGCATGCAGGGAAGGGAGGATATGTGGACCCCTGGGAAGAGCAGAGACTGTGCAGCCAGGCAGACCTGGTCCCTTGGCAAGGCCCATTGTTGGGTCTGTGCCTCCCTGGCCAGGTGACTTCTGAGCTGGGCAGTTTCCTCATTTGTATTAATGGTTCCTGGTAGGTGGTTGAGAGAATTAAATGAGAATGTAGGAATGTATATTTTAAAGTTTGTACCAGATAGTAAGGGTTTAGCAAATGACTTTAAAGGAGTAGAAGCCCAAATCCCTTCCCCCAGGGGACATAATAGCTAAGCATTGGGGTCCTAGAGTCAGACTGCCAAGTTTCAATCCCTGCTTCTCCCACTTTGCATATGATCTTATGAAAGTTACTTAACCACTTCATGCCTCTCTTCCCTTATCTATAAAACATGGATAATATTCACTTCATTAGGTGTTGTCAGGACTTAGTCAATCAGTGTATCTAAAGTGCATCAGAAAGCACCTGATGGGTACTGAGTGCCCAAAAGATGTCAGTTATCATCATCGTTAATGAAGGCTTTTAAGTACAGAAGTAACATCCAGTCTTCAGTGTGAGAATATTGCTTTGCTTTTATGTGAAGATTGGATTGGGGGAAGTGCAGGCCAAGAGACAGTGTAGAAGAAACTGGACTGCATGCTGTGTTTGGGTTAAACCTGCTGGAAACTCCATTTTTAGTTTGCTTGCACAGCCAGCAAAGGGAAAAACTAGATGGGGTGGGGAGGGAGTCCCCATCAAGAACTGAAAGGTCTGAACAAATTTCAGTGAACAAATGTCAGTTCCTATAGTAAACAAATGGCTATTTTACATGCTTTCTAGAAGAAATCACCTTACTGGAAACTTTGGTTTAATGTAGCATGGATGTCCCAGGAAGAACTTTGTGCTTAATAATTTAGGAAGAAAGAACCTATGACCATCTCAGAAAACTTCTTTCCTCTTCTTAGTGGAAATAGCAAAGGACTGAGCCCGTGGAAGTGTGAATAACCCCTTTTCACAGGTCGTGGAATGTGCTTGTTCTTCAGAGCAGCCATTCTGTTTTGTGTTCATCGCATCGTGTGAGTCAAGAAAGGTGTGATTATCATCGTTATTACCTGGCCCTCAGTTAATCATCAGAAGGTTCCTTGATTAATATGAAATTAGAGAAAGGGGGGAATGATTTCATGGTACTTTATCCAGGCCATGGTGAGGTGCTCTCCTTCCCCACACACAGCACATCTCTAGTGGCTCCAGTTGTTCAGGACCCATAGATGAGTCCTTCCAGGGCAGCACTGGGCACCAGCTGCGGCGTGGGCCTGCCCCTCTTGTCGATTTCTTCCTTTAGATGTGAGAGTATCACTGATTTGGTTAGTAAAGTCACCCCGTCTTTGGTTTGCTCAGTTCATCCCTCACAGGATAGCTGTCTGTCACTCCCTCCATGTCGTTAGATGAAGGTGACACGGCAGCCTTAGTGGGGAAGTTGGGCCTTGAGTGTGCTGGAGGTGAGCAGCTCTGGGCCAGACGCATATGTGAGTCCTTGGAGCCATGGGGAGAGGAGGTTAGGGAATTTTTGAGTTCAGGCCAGGGCTCTGGTCCTGGTACTCACTGCTGGTTTCTTTATTGAAATAAGGTAAAGGAAATTAGATCTAAAACAAAGAGGAGGGAAATGAGTTGCTACATTAGCTTAGAAGGGAAGAATTACAATTTAAAATGAAACATCTGCACAAGACTCTCTTGGAGGGTAAGGGGATCGTGTCTTGTTTTTCCTTGTGTCTCTAAAGCACATAGTTCAGAATTGACCCTCAGTAATTGTTAGAACTAAACTGTGCTTCCTCCCTAAGATGACCTCAACACACACGTTCTAACCCAGAGACCCCCATGGATTAAAATCCACTTTAGAATAGTCCAGGGTCCCCCTTGTGGGCCCAAATCCTTTGGACTGGACATCTGTCCAGAGCCAGCTGCCACTCTGCTCTCCACAGGTAGATCCAAGAGGGTGAGGTATTCCTAGCCTCAGACAGACCCTCCCTGGTCATGTGTATGCCAGGCTCCAGGGGACTCGGGGAGGGGCGCAGGCTCCAGAGGGTGTTTGCCCTCTCACCCACACCACTCTTCCTAGGACCTGGTGGCGTGCCTGGGGAGCATCTGGAAGCAGTGTACAGTTGCACTGTTGCAGGTGTGATCGGGCCAGGCAGTTAAGAGACTTGATCAAAATCTCCCTCTCTCCCCCTCCCAAACATTTACTGAGGCCAGAAGTGCAGAATGTGTTTCGGGAACATCAGATAGTCTGCCATCGGAGGTGAGGCTGCAGGCAGTGGGGGCCAGACTAGTGGTTCCACTGAGGGGTTGGGCTTTGTTAGGGAACTCTTAGCAGTTCTTGGAGCAGGAGGGTAACATAACTGGTTCTATGTTTTAGAGACCTGCTTCTAGCAGGAGTGTTTATTTGAAAAATTCCTGATGACTAATGCCTGCCATATAAGCAGTACTGCTGCTTGCTGGGATGAATGGCTGTCTTTTCATGTGGGGAGAGGAGCAATGATTATAAAAAGCCTGAACACTGAAACCCCCTAAAGCTGCTTATGAAAGGAGTTGAAAGAACTGGTGTAACCAGGGGACTGAATACATGGAATTGAGGGAAAGTAGCTTACTCGTGCTCTTACGTCCACAGCTGTATCACCTCCCTCCCCAAAATGTACCTTTTGTGCTGTTCAAATAGATAAAAATACCAGCACAGGACATCTTGGTGGTCTTCCTTGCTAGACAAGCAGTATGGTGTGTGGGTCTCTAGTGATCACACTGTCCGCCAGCCTCAGTGTGTGTGCTCACCCTCTCGTCAATAGAGGGTACGCTATATCCCTGGATGTGATTGGAGTCCTAATTTTTTCCTTAGCTTGGGGACAGTATTCACCCTTCCTTAACTCTTCGAGTCCTGTTCTTTATTTTTGACCCACGCTTGATTTATTGGTATTTTAACTAGGTATAGTGAAGTTCAAATCCAGCTTTCACCATTATAGCTGTGTTATTTGGGATAGTTACTCTCCTTGAATCTCAGTTTCCTCATCTATAAAAGGTGGATAATAACCTAATTCTCAGAGTTGTGAGGGTTAAAGGAGGTGGGTCAAAGTTTATGGATCTGTAGTAAGTGTTCAAAACTGTTAGTTGAGAGTGCCTTCTTTGTAAAATCTTTCATAAACCCTGGTAGCCAGTTGCCCCTTGTGTGGCCATGGCAGACATTGCTTATCAACCATAGACTTCTGTGAATTCTCAATGCAACACTTCAAACAGCCATTACAAATTATCAGAGAAGGGAAATTGTTGAGGAATATGAATAAATTAAGGTTTCAGAAGCCTAATCTCCCCCGCCCCTCCTCCTGCAAAGGTTTACTGTTCAGACCCAATTGGAATGAACCAGAAAACTTTTGAATCTGCCCCTTTCTTCATTCTCTGTTCAAGGATATGAATTTTGTTTTCAAGAATCTCATTGTTGGGACTTCCCTGGTGGCGCAGTGGTTAAGAATCTGCCTGCCAAT